GGGCCCATTTCCGGCCTTCCAGAACTTCCAGCAAGTCTGTTTTTCACGCCTCCGGGAGGGCAAAAATGGCCTCCTCAGGCTCCAGAGGCTCTCTGGAAGCTGGAAAGGGGCCTATTACCGGTCTTCTCGAACTTCCAGGAGGCCTATTTTTTGCCCTCTTCAAACCGCTGTGTGTACCCTGCACTTACCTGCATCCAAAACGGGTCACATAGGGGCTCCTGTGAGGGGTGGGGCGGTGTGGGCAGGGCCAGCCAGGAGTAGGATTTGGGGGTTGTCTGAACTGCACAGAATCTCAGCAAGGGGCTCTCCCGAATGCCTGAGAGCCCCCAAATTAAGCCCCCCTGCTTTAGATCCCCCCCCAAAATATTAAATTTTGTTTAATAAGATGTCATCTCATATCTACTGAGGAATCCCATACATTTTCAAATGTCATGGTGTAGCATTTCCCCCTTATTAATATGCACCGTTTAATCTGTAGAAAAATATACCTCTGTTACGATAGCTTTGATTTCTGATTAGTCTACAGGTAAAATGGATGAAAACCAGTTTGTGGCCATTACCAGCAGTAACGCTGCCAAAATCTTCAATCTGTATCCGCGAAAAGGCAGGATTGAAGTTGGTTCCGATGCTGACCTTGTTATATGGGATCCCGACAAGGAGAAGACAATCACAGCAAAAAGCCATAAATCGGTAAGACAGAACATTTCAATTAACAGAATTAACAGAATAACGGAGGTTGGAAGGGACCTTGGAGGTCTTCTAGTCCAACCCCCTGCTCAGGCAGGAAACCTTGTACCGTTCCAGACAAATGGTTGTTGTAATCTCTTCTTAAAAACTCCCCGTGTTGGCACAATTTCTGGAGGAAAAAGTAAAAAGCTTCAGCTTTTAAAGTTTTGATTTTTGATGAAATCTTATATCCCCCCCCTCCCCCCAGTAAAATGTTCAACAAGAGTTATGGAAGTGGAATATTAAGACAGCTTTATTTAATTTACAAAGGATTATGTCATGCCCCTGTTGGAATCTGACTAGGAGGAGGAAGCCGAACAGCTGACAGGGAGAGAGAGTGTGGCTCCGTTGGCTGTGGAAGAAACTGGGGAAGAGCAAAGTCCATCTGGGCAGAGCAGGGGAGAGGTAGAACAGGGGAGATGGAGTTCAGAGGAAGAGCCAGGCTCACTCCCTCTTCATCCTAGGGCATGCAGGGAGGAACAGAGAAGGGAGCAACGTGAGTTGTGTGGCTTACAGGGGAGGAAAGGGCTCTGATTCCCTTCATTAGCTGCAGCTGGGAACATAGTGTATAAAAAAGGCAAGCTGTGTGCAGCAAGCTGTTGGGGACAAACATGACTTTATCTTGTATCATTGTGGCTTATCTGCGTTCCTGGCGTCTTCCCAACTGTGTGAGTTTTGCCATGCTTTCAAATCTGAAAGCCCTTCTCCTGCCCCTGCCAAGCTAATTACTTCAGTTTGGTTTGTTTGGAGTTTAAGTTACAGTTTGTGTGTACCTTGTTTTGGACTTAATTTTCTACAGTCAAAGACTGTTCCTGGGAGAATTTTTCTCCAGCCCGAAGGTAACCTGGACATTGGGGGCAAAGTTGGAGATAATAAAGGGACTTTTATTGATTATCTGACTGTGTTGCCTTTGTGCCATGTCACGGGTCATCACAGATTGTTTTGTTCCTTCCCAGTCTGTGATTTTTGTTTAAACAAATGTGTTACATGGTTAGAAAGGAGTGAAATACACACTTATCCACAACATTAAGTCTCAAATCTCCTGTTTTCTATGCTGTGAAGAATATGAAACAATAAAGCGTTTATTGGACTTAAACTGAAGTAAACCTGGAAAGTAATAAGTGTGACTTTAACTGTTTGCAAGAATATAAGCAGTGGTGGGATTCAAACAACCGGTTTGGTGAGTGTACGCAGTGCGCGCATGTGTTACATTTGAAAATAGCAAGAAAACTGACCATTTACTGCAGCCTGGTGAACTATCGGTTCGGCCGAACCGGTCCATACCGGCTGAATCTCACCCCTGAATACAAGAGTGAGATTTTGTGATGCTAGTTGATTGAAAATCCATTCAAAAAGTGAGGTGGGAAAATATGATGGCTTTTTATATCATGTCAGAAGCAGATTTGAGTCTATGATGGAAGAAAAATGCACAAGGGAGTCACCCAAGACTGGCTGGATAGAATAAAAAGCAAGTAAAAGAATTATTGCTTTTTAAAATATACAGTGCCTAGCTGTTAACACCAAACTGTTGGTAGCATTTTTCCTGTAGTAGCATTTTTCCTGTATTTTATTAGACATTGTCTGCCATTCTTGATGAGATAAACAATCTATGGAAAATAGACAAGAGAGAGTTTTTTTGTTGATTAAAATAACCTGTACGAATGAAATCAGGTAGAATTAATGAATGAAGGGAATTAAGCCCTCCTAAAGAATACAGACAGCCAACCAAATATAAGAGAAACATAAATCAAGGCAGCATCTAGAAGCGTTCAATGGAATCAGAAACAGAAATCAAAACATTTGGCAGTTTGACCCAGGGGTTATTAAAACCCCATGCAGGCATATTTCTGCAATTGAATTAATGCAATCAAAAGCATGCCTATATGTACATTAGTAACAATATATTGTGGTCATTGTTTCAGGCTGTTGAATATAACATTTTTGAAGGCATGGAATGCCGCGGGGCTCCCTACATAGTTATTAGCCGAGGGAAGATTGTGTTTGAGGATGGGAATTTGTCGATGAGGAAAGGATCGGGGTCTTTCATCCCGCGAAACTCCTTTCCAGAGTATCTTTATCAACGGATCAAAACTAGGAATAAGGTATGTTTACTCACTTCCTCGTAATCTTTCAATACTACCCTTCGGTACACAGCTTGCTTTCATTAATTATAAGCAGTCCTCAACATGTGACCTCAATTGAATGTAAAATTTATCTTGCGAAGGGAGAAATTTGTAAAGAGAGTTTTGCCCCATCTTATGACTTTTCTTGCCACGTTTGTTAAGTGAATCACTGCAGTTGTTAAGTTAGGGAGTCGGTTGTTAAGTGAATCTGGTTTCCACCCACTGGTCACGAAAGGGGTTCACATGACCCCGGAACACTACAACTGTTGTAAATGTGAGCCAGTAGTTGAGTATCCGAATGTAAACCACTGGTATATCATCACCATCATCATATTTTAATGACCCCATAATCTCTTGTGAGGTGGAGTCTGGGCAACTGAATAGAGCTGAGTATTTACTTGCTGGATGCCCTTCCTATCGCCAATGCAGAGTTATAACTTCAGCAGATATAATCTCAATGTACTCAAAGAGAGAAAAATCTGCCTCTCTCTAGGATCGAACTCAACAGTCTTCTGATTGTGAGGTGAGAATTCCCACCTCTAGGCCACTACACCACTCATGCAAATCACTGGTATACCCCAAAGACATATAAAGAATTAAGTTTACTGAGCACAGGTGAGAGCCTTGGTTAAGATTTACCTTGCGACGAGAAGAGTGGCTAAGAGGGCTTAGTTCTCTGCTGTTATTGCTTTTGAGGATGGGCAGGGTGGCCAGATTCCTTCTGGGCAAGGAGGGAATCCTTGGTGGGCCAGCGTGAGAAATTTTCTTGGCCTTTGTTGGAGAAAGTTGTTGGACACTGGCTGGGCAGGTCTATGGAAATCACGGAGGGACATCTAGGCTCTGTTATCTGGAAAGCGTTGGAGCTGGTTACTCCTGAGGAAGCCCCCTTGGGGCTGTGAGTTCTGCCACCTGTGCCCTGGATCCATGCCCCTTGGGGTTGGTTAAGCCTTCCTGGGAAAGCAGCAGAAAGTGACGCCAGCTGATTGATCACAGGAGGGAATACAATACTCCCTTCTTAAGAGATTATCCTTGGACACAATCCGGATAACACTAAGTCAGCATTGGTCTTGCTTGTGAAGTGGCATTAGGTCCAGAACACTGCGGCTCACTTACTTAGGATCACCTACAGGTGAGTAAAGAAGTCAAAACAGCTGTGCAGTTGGAGAGACACAAGTAAACACCCGTTCACTGAGAATGAATACATGTTTGTCTGTCTATGGAGATTCTCAGTCCTCCAGGTCATGGTGCTTTTTCAAGAGGCAAATGGACTTTTTTGTTTTTCTTTGAAGACATTTTATTTCTCACCCA